ATCAGTTAGTGTGATATACTACATCAGTAAACTGAAGAATAAATCCATATCATTATCTCAATAGGTGCAGAAAAGCTTTTGACAAAATCATTCATTTATGATAAAAACTCTGGAAAGTGGGCATAGAGAGAAGATACCTCAACATAATAAAGACAACATATGACAAACTCATACCTAACATCATACTAAGCAGTGAAAAGCTAAAAGCATTTTGTCTGTGATCAAGAACAAGACAAGGATGTTCACTCTCGCTGCTTTTATTAACATATTTTTGGAAGTTTTAGCCACAGCAGTAAGAGAAGAAAAAGATATTAAAGGAATCCAAATTGGAGAAGAAGTAAAACTGTCACTGTTTGCATGTAACATGATACTATACATAGACTATCCTAAAGATGCCACCAGGAATATATTTTACTAGAACTCATCAATTAATTCAATAAAGTTTCAGGATACAAAATTAATACTCAGAAATCTATTGCATTTCTATACAGTGAGTTTAAAATAGGTAACCAATAAGGAATAGATCCTGATGCTGGGAAAGATTGAGAGGAGATGGGAACGACAATAGACGAGATAGTTGGATAACATCACCAACACAATGGACATGAGTTTGAGCAAACTCCAGCAGATAATGAAGGACAGGGAAGCCTTGTGTGCTGCAGTTCATGGGCTCACGAAGAGCTGGACACAGCTTAGGGACTGAGCAACAACAAACCAATAAGGACCTACTGTATAACACAGGGAACTCGGCTCAATGTTCTGTAATAATCTAAATGGGAAAAGAATTTGAAAAAGAATGGATACTTATGGGTCTAACTGAATCACTTTGCTGTATGCCTGTAACTTAACACATTGTTGTTAATCAACTCTAATATAAAAATTTTTTAAAAGAAAGAAAAATATCATGGGTTATGATATAATAAAAGTTAGCTACCTGACATTTTATCTAAGAATGCTTATCTATTTCTCTGTATTAAATTGTTCAGCAATCATAATCATTTAGTTAATACCTTTTTAGACTCTCTATCCGAAATTTCTTCCTTAAGAAAAATGAATTGTTCTACCTTGAGTTAAGAATCTTTACTAAAAGGAAAATATTCTTCTAAATATTGATTAACCAGTTTACTTATTAGTCCTCTCCCTTTTAAGAATCCTCTTTAAAAAAGTGTTTTCAGACATGCACTGTGTTCTGAAAACATTCATGGCTTGTTTTTCTTCACTGTAGAGAGAATTGTGTGCTATGTTTATGTTTCCATATTATGGCTAACATAAGAGAACCCAAAGTGTTTCTACTTAGGCTCACTTGTTTTAGTATGGTAATTTAAAGTTTCAAGTGTTTTAACTTTGGAGTCAGCTGTTTAATTATATTTGTTTATGCACAGCAGTAAACCCTGAAGTGTGGTGGAATATTCTCCTCTCCAGATGTTGACCTGTCACTTGAATATTGTGGACTGGTTCTTGGTAGCCACTTCTTTCTTTTCTGCACTTTCCTGCATTCTCAAACTTACTTAGTTAAATTATGGCTTTGCTTAAATACGATCCTCTGTGTTCCCCATCTGTACCCATGCAGCTGAATATATCTGGGGAAAAATATGATCCCCGGTGATACTTTAAATTCCAAGAGATCTTCCTGACCAAGAAATGGAACCCACATCTCCTGCATTGCCAGGTGGGTTCTTTACCACTAGGGCCACCTGGGAAGCCCCATTAAGTTCCATTGGACCCTTAGTGCCATTTAGCAGTTATGGGTATTTATTTACCTGTCTGTCTGCTTCTAGAAGACTATTACATATCTTCTCTTTTCTCAAAGCCCCAGTGCATCCTCATCCAACCTAATTCTTAAGGACGGCTTTACGTCCTGATTCACTGAAAAAAATGGAAGCAATGAGCAGATAATTTCTACTGGCTCCTACTTTCATCTATACCCCTAACTGCATTTGGACTCCTTTACCCAATCTTCTCTCCAGTTCCATCACTAAATTCTCTGTACTCCTGACTACAGCCAGCCCTGTACTTGTTCAGTGAATCCTTTCCCTTCCTGATTATATAAGGAAGTTGTACCGGAAATTTTCTCCTTTCCTGTATCATCAAAATTACCTTCTTGTTGGATTATTACTGTCAGGATTCATTCACTTGGAAAATATTTACTGAGTGTCTGCTATATGTTAGGCACAGTTATAGGTGCTAAGAATATGTTAGTAGAGCTTATGTTCTAGTTGAAGAAACAACAGTAAATAAAAAATATATTAAGTTAGTCATCTCATATGAACAAAGATGGAAACATGCTATGAGAAATAAAAAGTAGAGCAGGCAAGAGGGGTTGGAGAGTCCTGGGGAACTGATACAGATTTCAGCATTGAACATCATGCTTGAGGCAGGCTTCACTGTGAAGGTTTTTAGATTTAAGACTTGAAGGAAATGGGGGGGGGGGGGTTAGCTAGGGGGTTGTGTGAGGGGAAGAATACCCAGCAGAGGCACGACTAGATGAAAAACCCTAAAGACAGAGACTGCAGTGCATTGTGGAGGAAGTGCAGGGTGGCAGGGTAGTTGGCAGAGTGACCTGAAAGAGAATACTAAGGGGAGAGGTGAGAAACTTCCATGGGATGGGTTGGAGGTCCAGATCGTGTAGGACCTTTGCTGATCATCTAAAGGCCTTTGTCTTCTGTTCCAGTGAATTGAAAACATTGCAGTTGGTTGTTTTTTTTTTTTTTTTTGCAGTTGTTAATTTTAAGGTTTCTGACTGTAGGTCTCTGCAGAGAAGAGCAGAGGAGAACTGTTCTAAGGTTTTGGGAATATTCATGTCAGAGACAATGATGGCTTGTTCCAAGGTAGTGGAGAAAGTGTGAAGTGATACTAATATATCTTGAAAACAGAGTCAACAGGATTTCCAGAGTGAGATGTGAGAGAAGAAGGGACTTAAAGATGATCCCAAGGTTTTTGACTTGAGCAGCTGAAAGGCTGGAGGTGCCATCATCTGAGATAGAGAAAGCTACAGTTAGGAGGTTGGCAATGGGAGCAAGAGTGGGAGAAATCAGGAATTTAATTTTGAATGAGTTCAGATGTCTCTCAGAATGCAATTTCTATATTTAGTAACTTACCTGACCTTTCCACATCTCTAAGTAGGAAGATCCAGTTTTATGGCACCTGGGGAGGTTTAGGCATTGAGTGGTGAGAGCCTCAACTATGGTAGCATCAGTGGAAAAGTAAGAGCATATGCTCCCAGTATCAAAAAGGAAGGTCACCCATGTTTTCAGTTTGAATGATGGAAAAATTAGGAAAGCCAGGTCTAAGAACAGATTTAGAGGGAAAGATAGTAGGTTGGGTTTTAGGTGTGGTTCCAGTAATTCAACCAGGTAGAAATAACCATTGTATAGTTAGAATAGAGATTGTAAAGTTAAAATAGAGAGCCTAGGTGGAAAGAAATTTGGCTGAGACCATAAAAACTTGTTAGAAAAGAGAAAAAAAAAAAAAAAGCAGAGACCCTTGATGAATCATCTCTTTTAGTGTGAAGAGTAAAGAATTGATCCAGTGTGATTAATGACTTTATCCTATAAAGACCCATGTAGTTGATAGTTGCTAATGATGAAACTAGCACAGAACAGATAAGCACTGAGAAAACACTGCTGAGTTTGTCAACTAGGGGTAAATTAGTTTCTTCTAAGAGAAAAGTGTCAGCGGACAGCCCTATCCTGTTCACTCGTGTTGTTCAATACCAGATGGTAGCCCACCAGACTCCTCTGTCCATGGGATTGTCTAGGCAGACCACTGGAGTGGCAGCCACTAGGGGATCTTCCCGAAACAGGGATCGAGCCCGGTGTCCTTCACTGCAGACAGGTTTTTTACTATATGAGTCACCAGAGGCGCTCAGGTGTATACATAATAATAGCAGCTAAATGTGAAACCTAACATACTGGAAACTTAGTATGTGTCATACACTACACTATTATATCTACTCATTATTAATCCCCTGATGGCCCAGATGGTAAAGAACTAACCTGCCAATGCAGGAGACCCGGGTTTGGTCCCTGGCTTGGGAAGATCCCCCGGAGGAGGGACTGGCTACCCACTCCAGTATTCTTACCTGAGGAATTCCATGGATAGAGGAGCCTGGTGGGTTATAATCCATGGGGTCGCAAAGAGTTGGACATGACTGAGCCACTGACACTTTTATTATTAATCCCCACATCACTTTCATGATGTAGGTACTCTTATTGTTTCCCCATTTAATACTTAAAGACCAGACAAATTAATTAACTTGTCCAAAGTTGCATAGTTAATGGTAGGAAAAAAAGATCATATCCAGGCTCTGTAGTATTAAAAATCCATGCTTTTAGCCACTACACTATGCTCCTTTTCTTTGAAGTCTTCATAGATAATCCTTGACAGAACTTATCACTCTTTGACTGACCCTAGGTGACTCTAGAGTTTTAGGGTGTACTTACTGTCAAAGGCTTATAATCTAGGTAGGCATAAGGATATCGTCTTAAAAATTATAATATTAGATACTCTATGCTAAGTGAAAAATGGGAGGTACAATAATAAATAATGAGAATATAGGGTGGGGAATGTAATGATAATGTTATAAGAATATAGGGTGGGGAATGGTCAGTCTAGACCAGGTTTTTATAAAAGGCTTCATGGAAGGAGTAGAATTTGATACCTTAGAGGACAAGTATTCTTTTGACAATTGGATATGCCTAGGGGTAAAATAAATAGGAAACATTCCAAATAACAGTATTAGCTAGAGCAATGGTGTAGATACAGGAAAGAAGAAGATGTATTTAGGGAGAGTTTAATAGTGCAATTTAGCTGGTGTGTGTGACCAGAATGGGCAAAGGATTAGAAAGGAATACTGAAGTCAGATTTTGAACAACCTTGAGTGAGATCCATAGAAATTTGTGAAGTTGCAGTGGTTTGTTTAGAATGGAACTCTGTAGCTCTCAACTGTTTACTTGTTTAAATAGAAGTATATTCAAAGAGACATTTTATTTTATTTCTAGAATGCCAGTTAATGAAAACAGAACGACCAAAGCCAAACACATTTATTATCAGATGTCTCCAGTGGACCACTGTTATAGAGAGAACATTTCACGTAGATACTCCAGAGGAAAGGTAAGAAACTCATTTTTTCTATTTTGTGAAACAGCAGCAGTCAGTCTAAAGATGTATGCGTAATCTGACTTGACCACTTGTCAATATATTGGTAAAATGCTGTTCAGTTCAGTTGCTCAGCCGTGTTCTACTCTTTGCCACCTCATGAACCGCAGCACACCAGGCCTCCCTGTCCATCACCAGCTCCCGGAGTTAACCCAGACTCATGTCCATTGAGTTGGTGATGCCATCCAACCATCTCATCCTCTCTCGTACCCTTCTCCTCCTGCCCTCAATCTTTCCCAGCATCAGGGTCTTCTCAGATGAGTCAGCTCTTCGCATCAGGTGGCCAAAGTAGTGGAGTTTCAGCTTCAACATCAGTCCTTCCAGTGAACACCCAGGACTGATCTCCTTTAGAATGGAATGTTTGGATTTCCTTGCAGTCCAAGGGACTCTCAAGAGTCTTCTCCAACACCACAGTTCAAAAGCATCAATTCTTCAGCGCTCAGCTTTCTTTATAGTCCAACTCTCACTACCATACATGACTACTGGAAAAACCATAGCATTGACTAGATGGACCTTTGTTTGCAAAGTAATGTCTCTGCTTTTTAATATGCTGTCTAGGTTGGTCATAACTTTCCTTCCAAGGAGTAAGCGTCTTTTAATTTCATGGCTGCAATCACCATCTGCAGTGATTTTGGAGCCCAGAAAAATAAAGTCAGCCACTGTTTCCACTGTTTCCCCATCTGTTTGCCATGAAATGATGGGAGCGGATGCCATGATCTTAGTTTTCTAAATGTTGAACCTTAAGCCGATTTTTTCACTCTTCTCTTTAATTTTCATCAAGAGGCTCTTTAGTTCTTCTTCATTTTCTGCCATAAGGGTATTGTCATATGCATATCTGAGGTTATTGATATGTCTCCCAGCAATCTTGATTCCAGCTTGTGCTTCCTCCAGCCCAGCATTTCTCATGATGCATTCTGCATATAAGTTAAATAAGTAGGGTGACAATAAACAGCCTTGACTTATCCTTTTCCTATTTGGAACCAGTCTGTTGTTCCATGTCCAGTTCTAACTGTTGCTTCCTGACCTGCATACAGGTTTCTCAAGAGGCAGGTCAGGTGGTCTGGTATTCCCATCTCTTTCATAATTTTCCACAGTTTATTGTGATCCACACAGTCTATAGTCCCTTAATTATTCTGTTTCTGGTATAATAGATAAATGACAGGCTTACAAAGATATTAAAATGTATAGAAGTGATGTAAGATATACTTTTAAACAGAAGGCTGAACACTTAAAAGTCAAAGTATAAATTAAAGAGGTCACCAGACTACATTTTAAGAATTCTGTAATTGATTGTGGTCATATTTGGAATTCTAGGGCTGGTGATGGCAAAAGGTTTTAAACAGCGTGCCATTATGCAGGTGGCTTCCCAGAATGTTATGCTGAGAAGGATTCTGAGATTGGGGCTGAGCTCAGTGAGGGGGAAACTTCAGGTGTGATTGGTATTAACTGTCATCATTGCTAGAGAGAGGGATATTAGTAACCAGCACACCAACATCAGGGCCGCATGTCATCCTCCTGATCTACTGTCCTCGAATTCTATCTTAATATTCTTTTATCTGGTGGCTCTGATACTGAGTTAAGTCCAACAACCACAAAATAATTTTTCTACACATGTTACCATATTTGATCCAAATCAGAAACTTTTGTGAAGTTAAATGTTATTAGCCTTACTTTTCAAGTGAACAAATGAGGTCCTAAGAGACTTGTTTAAAATTTAAAACAAAAACAACCTCTTCCTCAAATGTGGTGAAGTATTATTTTAGTAACACTTTTTTTTTCAATAAATAGTAAGTAATAAAGTATAATTGATTACTTTAGGAAATATAGAAAAGAATGAAAAATTACTCAATTCTAATTCTATAACCAGACCTAGGGTCTGATAATATTTTCTTTAGTATACTTTCCATCTGACTCAGTGCAGATGTGTAAAGGTCTTTGGTATACATTAAATTTGATATGTCCTCCCTTCCCACATACCTCTGTCTTCCCTATGCATTGCTATATGTTGGATCCTCAGTTTTCCTTTATCTCTACTCATAACCATGGTTGAGCCCATGGTTGAGTCCTATAGATGAGGTAGGACTCCCTGCTGCCTACTTATGTATCTGCTTATATCCTCTGTATCAAGTTTGTCTCCACTGTAATCTTTGTTTGCCTTTTTCTCTCTTGATTATAAGACTCTTGACTAGCAAGTATCATATCTTCCTTGCTTATTATTTTATCTTTAGCATGTAGTTGAAGATCTGACACAATGTTTGTTGACTGGCTGAATGAATGGAACTTTTCCCATGTCAATACATAGTCTTTGAAAATATTATTCTTAGTGGATTGTAACATCCCTTTGAAACAGTGATTGATTTTTCCATTTATGTTGGCAAAGCTGGACTTAAGCCATATCTTAATGCTTCAAAATATCTAGTTTGCTGTTCTTCCAATAATATCACACTACTTTTTAGAAAACTAGGAATAGAAGAATAAGGAATAAACAGAACCTTAAGTTAGTAGAAAGAGACAATGAAGACTGGAGTAGAAATGAATAAAATAGAGACTAAAAAGAAAAACTAGAAAATATCAATGAAACTAAAAGCTGGTTCCTTGAAAAGGTAAACAAAATTGAAAATCCTTTAGACAGACTCATCAAGAAAAAAAGAGAAAAGGGCAAAATAAAATCTGAAATGAAAGGGGAGACATTGCAACCAAATCCACAGTAAAAGAAAGGATCATAAGAGATACTATGAACCATTTTACACCAGTAAAATGAACAACCCAGAAGAAATGGATAAATTAATAGAAATGTGCAATCTTCCAAGACTGAACCAACCAGAAAGGAGTATATGAACAGACCAGTTACCCGTAACTGAAATTGAATCAGTTAAAACCAAAGTAACAAAAACAAAGCCTTTCCAACAAACCAAAGTCCAGGCCAGGTAGAAAATATTTGCAAGCAATGTAATCAATAAGGGCTTAATTTCCAAAATATGCAAACTCATATAACTCAAAAACAGAAAAACAATCGTCCAATTGAAAAATGGGCAGAAGATCTAAATAGACATTTCTCCAGAGAAGACATACAGATGACCAATAGGCACTTGAGAAGGTGCTCAACATCACTAGAGAAATAACAAATCAAAACTACAGTGAGTTACCTCCCAGAAGTCAGAAAGGCTATCATTAAAAGTCTACAAATAACAAATGCTGGAGAGGGAGTGGAGAAAGGGAGCCCTCCTCTACAATTAGTAGGAATGTAAGTTGTTGCAGCCACTGTGGAAACAGTATGGAGATTCCTCAGAAATCTAAAAATAGAATTAGCATATGATGTAGCAGTCTCCCTCCTGGGCTTATATACATACAAAACTATAATTCAAAAAGATACATATACCTCTATGTTCATAACAGCTCTATTCAAAGTAGAAAACAGAGAAACAACTAAATATCCATTGACATATGAATGGATAAGGAAGATGTGGTCCGGTTTGACAATGGAATATAACTTACCCATGAAAAGAAATGAAATAATGGCTTTTGTAGCAACATGGATATAACTAGAGATTGTCATACTAAGTGAAGTAAGTCAGAAAGAGAAAGACAGATATTGTATGATATCATTTATGTGTGAAATTTAAAATATGACACAAATGAACCTATCTGTGACACAAAAACAGAATCATGAACCTAGAGAACACCCTGGTGGTTGCCAAGGGGGATGAAGTTGGGGAAGGGATAGAATGGTAGGTTGGGGTTAGCAGATGTAAGCTTTTATATATATACATAATGGCCTTGCTGTATAACATAGAGAAATGTGTTCAATATCCTATGATAAACCATAATGGAGAATAATATATTAAAAAAGCATGTGTATATATAAATATATATAAAACTGAATCACTTTGTTGTATGGTAATAATTAGCATTGTATATCAGCTGTACTTCAATAAAAATATTGATCAAAAAAAGAAGAAAGAACTATAGCCCAGTATATTTGTTACTATTGTGAATGCAAAATTTCTTAACAAAATTTTAACAAACCAGATTCAAGAAAATATGTAAAAAAGGTCATATGTTATGACTAAATGGAGTTTATCATATAATGCATTTGTATTAAATCTGAAAATCATCCATCTAAATTCATTATATTAGAAAAGAGAAACTACATGGTCATTTCAACAGGTGCAGAAAAGGCATTTGAAAAAAATCCAACACCCTTTCATAACAAAAACATTCAACTGGTTAGGAATGGAAGGGAACTTAATCAACTTGATTAAGTGTATCTACAAACAAACTACAACTTATATAATATTCAGAGGTAAAAGACTTGATACTTTCTCCCTTAACATCTGGAACAAAATAAGAATGTCTGCTCTCACCACTTTTATCTAATATTGTACTGGTAGTCTGCTCTAGACAATTACAAGGCAAGAAAAAGAAATAAAAGGGAAACACATTGGAAAGGAGGAAGTAAACAGCTCTTCTTTATAGACTTTATGGTTACATGTGTGGAATATCCAAAAAAATAAAAGCTATTAGAACTAGTAAATGAATTTATTAAGGCTATAGAATATATGGTCATCATACCAAAAGCAATTATATTTCTAAATACTAACAGAAAATTTGGAAAATAAAAAAAAATTTAGAACTCCAAAATAGCATAAAAGAATACTTAGAAATAAATTTAGTTCATGGCTTGCAAGACATTTTCACAGAAAATTACAAACACTGAATTGGATAATTAAAGATATAAAATGGAGAGCTATACCATGTTCATGGATTAGAAGACTTAATTTATTAAGATATCAGTTTCCTCCAAATTGATCTATAGATTTAATGTAGTTCCACTTAGAATAATAGCAGAATTTGTCTTATGAAATCTACAGACTGATTTTATACAAATTGTATATGGAAGTAAATGATCCTTTATCTGATAGCACAACTGTCAAAAAGTAAAAGTCTCATGTTACTGCTCCTAAATACTATTATTTAAGTTACAAACTATGCCTATCCGTTTTTAAAAAAGAAACTTACCTATGATCTGGGAACAGTTTTTGCCTTTGAAAAGTTTTTTCAAACTTTTTAAAAAATTTATTTCTAATTGGAGGAAAATTGCTTTACAGTGTTGTGTTGGTTTCTGCTGTCCAACAACACAAATCAGCCATAATTATACATCTGTCACCTCCCTCTATTGGACCTTAATAGAGAAACTGAGTGTATCAGTGATGGACTTACAGATGTGTACAGAGAATTAAGATTTAGTCATATGTTTAAATAATTTTTACTCAGTTTTCTTAAAATCATCATCATCTCCTCCCCTTCTTCTTCTTTTTACCTCCAAGTAAATGCTAGTATTGATAAAAACTTCAGACCTGTGATATAAAATACTTCTAGGATCAGCTTCATCTTGGAGTTATGGTGGGGGATTTGTATTATTTTGAAATAGAATTTGTGTTGACTTTATATTTTATAGAAGAGAAATATTTGCATCATTTACGATTCTTTATTAATGGGAATTTTTTCCTCGTTTTTATAGGGAAGAATGGACAGAAGCTATCCAGGCTGTAGCAGACAGACTCCAGAGGCAAGAAGAAGAGAGAATGAATTGTAGTCCAACTTCACAAATTGATAATATAGGAGAGGAAGAGATGGATGCTTCTACAACCCATCATAAAAGAAAGGTAGAAGAGAACATTTTATTCCCCTTTTCAGCACAACATTTATGTGTGTGGAAGAAATATGTCAACAATTGCCATTTGCAAAAATTGTTAGCCAGTTATCTTATGATATGCCATTACATTGGTGTGAATGGTTTTTAATCAGGTGAATCTTAAACCTGTCATTGTTTAAAACCACATAATTGAAATGTCACTTTATTTCAGTGTTTCAGCAATTAGCACTGAACGCTCAAAGGACTTGTTAGGATGCAGTGACTGATGTGCCTTCATACTACTTTGTAATTTGCATTTTTCCCTTACTGTTTATTTTAATACTATTTTAGAAACTTGGAAATAAAATGTTTTCCCTAATGATTTGGTCTTTTTCCATTTGGCATTCTGTGTTCTCCTGAAAACAGAAGCTTAAATGGCTCTGTGAACTTCCTGCTTGGTGCTCCAGCCTCACTAATATCAGCAGGAAAGTGAGCAGTCTTGGAAATTACAGCTTTTTATTTTAATGGCTGCTTCTAAGCCAGTGAAGGAAGCAGACTTTTCCTATCCTCAGTGCTCTAGAATAATAAACACCAATTTATGTATTTATGGGAATTGTAAATTATGTTTTTCATTACAATAGAATATTGAAAAGCATCTTCCTATGCAAAAAATGGTATTTTAAGATTAAGGGTATAAGTGTTCAAAATAGATGAACATGCCATTTTTTAATGTTAGAATATATTTATTATATTAGATTTTAAATTAACCTTCAGGTTGAGAAATGCTAATTCTTAAGATAATTATCCATGTAACTTTGTATTAGCACAGTGATTAAAAACTCTTTGGTGTTAGACTTCCTGAGTTCAAATCTCTTTTTTCCTGTGTGCTAAAGATATGAAGGTAAGCTTTGCATTTACAATTTAGATTTAGTTAATTTATCCCTTCCTTATCTGAAATTGCTGTTCTAATTAGAATTATATTCTGTGCTTGATCTTGACCAAATGTCTGAGAGCCCTGTGTAACTTCCTTGAACACTTACCCTCTACTTGTTGGCTGTACTGTATCCCTCTTTTCTTTTGAGTCACCTTATCTACCCTGTGCCCTTGTTCCTTAGTTATTGCCAAGAGAAAAACACAGTCTAGCTTTACCTCCTCTCAGAGAGAAAGAAGTTTCTTTTGCTCATGTATGTTCACATGTACACAATTAATTTGAAATTTGACTGTGCTCATAAATTTAAAGTCATATCCTGATTATTCTCATCCTTTGAGTAATGAACTACTTCATTCAATAGCAAACTATACCAGCTGTAGAATTTCTGAATAACAAAGATTAATAATAAGATGTTGTATAAATAGTTAGAGGTTGAAATTGGAAAGTTTATAACACTCTTTAACTAGAGATACTGGTGTTAAAAATTTTGGAAATGAAAATGGAAATTTACAGAACTTTGAATGAAGAGAGACAAACGTTTTGAATGATACAAGAATGGAAAATACTACTCTTTCTGTTGGGGCTGCTTGTAAATGATTTTTAAAGCATAATACATTTTCCCGTTTGCAGTTACCAGTGTCGATTGTCTTACAGTTTCTCATCTTTACTAGTTATCACTTGTAAGCCTTTATTTTACGTTTATTTCATGCTAGGCTCTGAGCTGTACTTTCATATGTATTATCTCACTTGATCCTTATAGGAGTCATACAAGGATAAGCGCTGTTATTATTCCATTTCACACTTGAGTCATCTGATATCTAGAGAAGTTAAATATCTTGTTCAAGAATGCAGTGACTTTACACACTATGCAACTTCAGTATGCAGTCTGCTTTTTATTGATTCACATATCTTGAGCTTCTGCAACCTCTATATTGTTATAACATAATCAAGCTATATTAGAAAGAAAATTATACAGACAGCCTCTCATTTTATACTTTGTTTCTCAAAATAGTATGTCGTATTGTTGCTTTTACACAGTGGTTGGATATTAATTAATTTCATTTTGTATTAGAGCACTTTTGGAAAAATCAGTAGAATTTGAATATTATAGAATACTGGTGGAAAGGGAAACTTTTGTTGTCCTAGTACTTGTGTTCAAGTCCTGGATCTACCATGTGTATTATTGTGGGGGAAGTTACTTAATTCTTCTGTCCTTCAGTTTCTTGTCTGTAAAAGGGAGATAACAGTGGTATTTACCTCATAGAGTTGAGAGGATTAAAATATAGCTGGGAGTGTATGTAAATTGTTTATATACTAAATGCTCAGCGAATATTAGCTAGTATTAGATAGTATTTTACTTTATCCACATAAAGATAATTAAACATTCACATATTTTTGAAGCAGAGTCTCTTAGAATTCTCTTGTTGAAACTAAGTCTCCAAAATGAAAAATTGATAGTCAGAAGTATTATTTTGAATTTTGGAATGGGATCCATTTTCTTATTTGGCCTGTATCTTATTTCCTTGTAATTTTAATATTTCATTTAAAATGAAATGATATAAAATAGTTTGAAATAACAGTACAGAAAAAGAACATTTGTACCACTAACTAACTGTTCTAGAACAATGCTAATAACTTGTTTCAAAAGGGTGAAATATTGCTATCACTTCCTTAAGATAAGTGACTCTAAAACTAGTTGACACTTGAACAGCACAGAGGCTTGGTGAGCCCCACCCTCTGTACAGTTAAGAATCTGCCTTTAATTTATAGTTGACCCTCTGTGTCCGGGTTCTTCTCTGTCTGTGGTTCCTCTGAAGCAGGGGTACATTCATGTCCACAGTTGCTTTGTATCTGCCTGTGGTTGTGCATCTGAGGATTCAATCAATAGTGGATCCAAAAGAAATCGATTGAAAAAAATCCACACATAAGTGGACCCATACAGCCCAAACCCATTATTGGTCAAGAGGCAACTGTATATCTTTTGTGAATGTTACTTATAAAAAGAATTGTATAAATTCAGATTATTTTTAATTTTAGATTGTAAACCCAAATATTCTGTGATAAGAATATCCTCATAATTTCTGGAATACATTTTCTTTGTTCACTTTTTGACAAATAGATACTAGCAGAAAGAGAATAGCTAATGGTAATGGTAGCTATGATGAGAATTGTCCTGACTGTTCTCTCTTGTTTGGGTCAAACAGATGGTTATTTTTTTCTTAGTGGTAGAGTATTGCCATTGTATCTGCTCTTCAGATTGAAACTCTTGGAAAGGGAAAGATGTGGTAGAGAGAAGAGGCAACAGCCTTGCAACCAGATTCAAGTGCTGATCTTTGTTTAAATTAAAAGATGACGTTTCAAAGGAATTTGATTAGAATACTCAGAAATATCTAATCTTGGTCTGCCAAGCTGCCACTATCTGGACCCTGTTAGGTACGTAAAGGGCCACAGTAAAAGCATTAATAGCCAAATGGGAATAAAATATTTGCTTAGTTTTTAAATGATCAATATAGACTTCTCTGGACATAGCTGGTTATCATCTCATGACTTAGGAAGTATAATCAGTAAAGTATAATTCAGTTCAGTCACTCAGTAGTCTGTGACTCTTTGCGACCCTATGGACTGCAGTACTAAAGGATAGTTAGTACCTCCTATATTCCCATTATGTCTGATTCCAGTTCTTGGAATTTTATTATTTAATGCCCGACTACCATAACTCATAGCAATCACTGGCATACAGAGAAGGAGAGAAAGAAAAGAACAGACCTGAAATCAAGTCATTTCTCACTTCCTCCCTAGAGGGAGGAGCAGCATAATCAGTGTTGTATAAATTGATAAGATTAGAGCTTCTCCTTTCATTGGGAAAAATCACTTGAGGAATGGAGGAGAGATGTGGGCAGAGAGATTTGCTTCTTGAAAGACTCCTTTTCACTGCTTGGACCTTATTTGGTGTATCTCTTACATTGTAAATGTGTGTGGAATTGATCTTTTTGGCCAAACTTGCTAAAACCACTGTATCCTTTTCCTCGTATTGCTCTTCATTTATATATATTTGTAACCTAATTTGGGGGTTTGGGGGCTTGACAATTATTTTTCTTACAATCTAGTGTGTGATCTGAATATACTTTTCAAAAATCTATTTATTTATTTTAATTGGAGGCTAATTAAAATATTGTAGTGGTTTTTGCCATACACTGACATGAATCAGCCATGGGTGTACATAAGCCCCCCCACTGTGAAGCGCCCTCCCACCCCCTCCCCATCCCCTCCCTCAGGGTTGTCCCAGTGCACTGGCTTCGAGTGCCCTGTTTCATGCATTGAGCTTGGACTGGTGATGTATTTCACATATGGTAGTATACATGTTTCAGTGCTATTCTCTCAAATCATCCCACCCTCGCCTTGTGTATGCACATGCATCTTTTAGCCTAAAACAGCTACATTGATATGTTACAGAGATTATGTACAGGAAAGAGTGTAATTCTGTAAAAATATTTTGTAATAAATTCTTAAGTTTGGGTTTTGGAGCATTACTTTTCTACAGAGTATCTAATGCTTTTATTTTAAAAAAGTTTTATTGAAATATTTTTATAGATGTTTCAGTTATTAAAAATTTTTATTTAAGTATAGTTGATACACAAAATTATGTTAGTTGATTTATAATATTGTGTTGGTTTCCCCTTTGGTAATCATAGTTTGTTTTCTGTCTGAATGTTTCTGTTTTGTAAAGAATTCATTTGCACTGGTTTTTAAATTTCCACATATAAATGATGTTTATTGTCTTTCTCTATCTGAATTACTTCACTTCACTTCTCTAGGTCCATTCATGTTGCTGCAAATAGCTTTATTTCATTCTTTTCTATGGCTGAGTAATATTTCATTGTATGTGTGTGTATATATGTACACACACATGTACATTCACACACACATACATATGTGTGATATGTATATTACATGTATACACACATACACATATATACATGTGTGTAAATGTACACACATATGTACATTTACACATATATACATAAACACACATTTGTTGGTTTACTTGCTCAGTTGTGTCCAACTCCTTTGCAACCTCATGGATTATATAGCCTGACAGG